ACACATGCACCTCACGGTAGGGTCGGACAGGGAGGGTCTCTTGAGGCAAGACGCAGAGAACAACGCAGACAGATCAACAGAGTCCGCTACAAGATGCTATTTGCTAACTTATGCTAGGTGTAGTTTGATCATACTGGTAAACAGAACCATATAAAGTGCTTATGTTTAACATTTGGCTGTTACTAGAAGTATAAATGGATATAATGCATTCACTAGTTTGTTGTCAACATCCATTCCTGATGTCATTGTTGTGTCCTGATATTTTTGATTAATGGAAAGCAGGCGTCACAACTTAAAAATGTGGCCTTGATAGAATCAAGCAGCTTCTGCCCATTGATGGGAAAGTGCTGATTAATTGTGTCGTAGCCCTGTGAGAAAGTACGCCCAGCGCAAAGCACTAATTACGGGCCCTGCCTGGTCCGAGAGAAAAAAGGGGGCAAAAACTCTCAACAAAGGCTCATCTCATATCTCAAGACAATGAGGAGCAGGAAGAATAGGAGAAAGGAGAAGTTAATGAGCTGTGTCACCTGGCATCTGTTGATGCTGGGACGAGGCCCGCCTGGTGTGTGTCTGTGTGTGTTTGTGTACATGTGAAAGAGAGATTACGTTTATGCATGTTTACATGGTTGTTTGTTTGCTTTGTCGCTGTGTGTGTTGGTCTGTTTTTTTTTTCTTTCTCCGGCAACATTAGCGAAACAGAAACCAGCAGTGAAGGTCAGAATTCAGGCGGGAATGAAACTGAATAGAAAAACCGTATCGCTATCTTTGAATGTTTGTTTACACGGTCACAAATTATCCATATTTTGTGGACACATGGGTCACACAAACACAGGACATGTGCGGAGTAAACAAGTAAACAAGTAAACATGACCCCCCCTTTCAAGACAAAAAATCTACACAGCGACTTTAAAGTTTGATTCTTGAAAGCTAAACATGTAGATTGCATTGAAGTTTTCTCAACATGTCTACTTTTCTTTCTTTGTCCGTTCAGATACAAAAGCCGCTCACTTCCTGTTGTAAACAGAAATAAACAAGCTCAAGTCCATTTTCCATTTGTGTGTAACTTCAAGAAGATTGATTTTAAATGGTCAAATTTAAGCTGCAGAAGTTTTGATATCCAAAATTTCTCTCCACTTCTCAATCTAAAAAGTGTTTCAAATTTGAAGTCGCACACTTCCATAAAGCTGACTGTCCAGATTTGTATTATTCATGACTTTAAAACCAAGAAGAGGCAGTGTGTCTTCAGTCTGGCTGGTACTCATGACACAAGAACTGATCTTCAGGTGATACTGGTGTTGACATTTTTAACGTTTTTATTTCAAGGCACAAAGTGACGTCCTGTTGGAAATGACCAGCAGAGTCTGAAAAGATCATTTTCAAAAAAATGCCATAAAATCTCAAAATGAGTGCCAGGCACTCTGATACATTTATACGAAACAACTACTGAATTTAAATGTTTTATGATTCATATTAAGGTCTATTTAAATGTTTTAAAATGTGAAAAATGGCACCAAAAAAACTCAAATTGTCTTTATGTTCAGAAGGATATCATGAATATTTCACATCAAATGTGTTTGTTTCAGGATTGTGGCTTTAATAGGAATATCTAAAACAATCAGCATATCAAAATAACATGTTGAAATTCAGGCTGACTCTTTACTGACCTTTATTGCGACCCTTCTTGGTAACGCGCTGGCCACATGTTGTTATATGAGCAGAACACAGGAGAGGTCTGACTTTCCAGAAACTGTATGTACAGTAAGCACATTTGTAATCCTGTAAAAACACAACTCAGCCATGAGTTCAAAAATACTTTGAAAGTGTTTCCCCCTGTGGATCCCTCAGTCATGAAGGCGACCAGTCGACTGTGGTTTCAGCGCTTAGCGGCAGCAGCGAGTCCTGCTCTGACAGTAAATGACGTGACATGAAGCTACATTTAATGACACGAGATATATTATAGCTTGAGCTTTATTATGTTTGACGTCAAGAGTTTTTGTTTTTGACTGACCTTGAGGAACAATTTGAGTAATATTCACAGAGACCAAACTTGTTTTATGTCTCGAACAGAACACGTTTCTGTTGACAGGGCTAATTGTTAAGTGTGTGGTTGCTGATCTCGAGGCCAAAGAACCACTTTTGGTTGTTCCAAGTTTTGTTTAACTTATGCAGAACCCACAGTGTTCTGGATTGACACTGGTCATACTGTATCCATTGTGCACAGCGTCAGTGTGCTGACTTCTTCTAATAATAGAATATAAACTACTTGGCAAGCAGCACTGCATTTAAAGATTCCACCTCCCTTTGTATAAAGGGGCTTGCCTTTTGCAAAAAGGGAATTCTATGTTTCATTTTGAAGTTATTGGTCCAGTTCCAAGACCATCCAGCCTCCACTGATCAAAGGTCGAGTCAGAGAAAAGCCTGGCGGGAGGCTTATGCAAAAATGTCGTCTCCTTATTGCGAATCGGCCCGGCACATTGGAAACCATCGGCGCTCGTTTTAAATGTCAATATACCCAGATGCAGTTTGGCTCTGCTTGGTCAAGTTTGAAGTATGTGGATGGAAAAAAAAAAAAAAAAAAGAAAAGCTCGCTTGGAAATAGAACTTGAGGGGTTTCGAAAGTTGCATTGATTAAATTCCTTGACTTTGTGCAAGGTTGATTTTAACTCCCCAGTCCTGCAGAACATATCTGCAGACAGTGATGCACAGTGGACATTTAAGGAAAGTCTATATTGCAGAAATGCCTTAAAAGTATGTTTTATTTCCATTTCAGTTTAATTAAAAGGCCCATTCAAATACTTCTCTTTGATTGTCGCTGTTTAATATTAACATTGTTCTTGTCGTCGTTGAAAAGGTTGATGACAACATGAAGGGACATAAAACATTCCTTGAAATCTTTTTAGCCAACTCTGCTCCCCCCTTCTTCTCGGAGGAGGAGGAGCAGGGTCTTCAGCGCTGATCCATTATGTTAATGGTGAATTAACGGGTCACACATCAAGCGCTACGTTTTTTTAACCTCTAAAAGCAGGCCAGACGTCCAAAGAGCCCATGACGGAGCTGGGGGACTTCTGGGTCTGTTGGAGGTATAACGACCAGATAGCATCGCTTGGAATTTAAACAGAAGTATTTTTTTTTCTCCCTCAAAGCCGCCATCTTTCAGTCTGACGGTTACTGTAAACATCATTCCAGCACACACCAATATAAGACATGCTACTCCACATTCCTGCGGCGCTTTTAAAAATGGAAAAAAAAAAAAAAAACGTCTAAATTATTGCATGTTTACAGGTGTGGAGCGTTTACATCAAAGCACGTTGTGTATCTAAGTGCTCAAAGGTTAGCAAAATTTTCACCTCAGACCATCTCCATTACTCTTCACTAATATTTCCATTTATTATCCTTGTGTTGTGACTTTACAGACTTCACACAACTCCAACCGTATGTTGTTTATGATGCATTACAAAAATCACATTTCATTAATTACCGCAGCAGACATTTTGACGCTTAAAAAATTAAAAGTCAGAAAATAGAATTTGACTTTCTCTGCCAGAAAGTTCTGCAATAATTTAATGAAAGCAATATTATAAACTGCACCATCTGTGAAAACTCAATGACCTTTGCAAGGATATAAAAAAGCATTCAGAGATGTTGCAAAAGCTTTCTTTTCATTTAAAAAGGACACTGACGTTAAGAGCAGTCTTCACACTTTGTATATAAAAATCATACCATGGCATTATGAAGAGAGGGGAATGTACTCTCTATGTCCTACCAATCGCTACCTACAGTATTTCTCTTTTTTTATGCACTATGATATTCAACATGCATATCACAAATTCCCATTTCAAAACATCCAGTCTATATAAAGTTGGACAACACAACGATTCTTCCTCCCATTGTACAAAAGTGAAGCCAAATACCAGTGTGACCAGAGCTGACACATTGCTCATTTGGAGCCAGAGTCTGTGCATGGTGATTGGCTGGAATTTAACTTACCAATAAAACATCTCCCACAGGCCAGATCAGTCCACAGAGCGGCAGATTCTTGTGTCCGTTTGAAGCAGACGTTCACAGTTATGGAAAGGTCACTGACTCCTGTGTTACTGTTTGTGGTGTTTCCACCTCTACTTTGATAATCCATTGCACACAGGGCTGCAGAAGCTGCATTTGTAAACCCTGCTGTCAATCCAGGCACTTTACACCTTTCTAAAGCATCAAATATCTAATGCAAAAGAAACTTATCCGAAAGAGCTTGACAATAACTAGCTATCGCAACAGAAACCGTGTTTGAGACAAATGTATTTTGCATTTATTTTAATTTTAAAGTCTGCCCATGCCCCGTATGTTAAAAGTTTTCTATGCGATTTTTTGATCCAGCAGATGTCGCCCTTGAGCACCAGCATGAAACCAAAACAATTCGCGCTGCATTGTTGTGTTAGCATGCTAATGCTAGCGATCTTTATTATGCTGGTATCTTCACACTGCATGTAAATTTACCTGAAATGAGCGTGATCTAGAAACACAGTTAAGCAGTGAGTACAGTATGTTATTCTTCTTTTCTCTAGTCCCTCATTTAAACAACTTTTATACACGAGGGGAGGAGTCAGCCGGCCATCCCGGCGATGTAAACAAACTGAAGATAGGACTCTGAAAACTCTGAAAGCATCACAGACAGTGGGACTCGGGTGTTACACCCATTGTAGACAGTCATGACTCACAGAGTTATTTTCAGAGGATATACTTGATTTATATTATATTTAAGTGTGAAAAATCACATATAAAGACTTTAACATGGAAGAGGCAGAGTCTATGAGCAGCCAGTCAGTAGGAGGAGCTCTAAACATTCTGGCTTCACTTTAAAGCAGGTGTTGTGTTGTCCATCTTCTTATACAGTTAAAAGGGTCCAAACCAGGACATGCACTGACTTCCATCATTTTCCATGGTGCAATAAAGACATAAAAAAAGTTCTTTTTTAAAATATAGTCCTCATTTTTATTAACAGAGGCCAAATAAAACTCATCACATTTTATTTACAAAGGGAGGCAATAAATATCTTAATAATAGTCATAAAATTATTTTTGCTTACATTTGTTTTAAAAAAGAAATTGTAAATGTGTCATGTTGTTAGTAGCAGTTCATACAAAAAAAAAACAACAACCTGCCAGCAGACAGGTGAATACATACTACAGGTGAGGAGGGAGGGCTGGAGTTTGTCGTCAAGTGAGAAAAAGAGTGACAGAAGCAAAGACATTTCCCCCGTCGTTTCAGGATTCACACTCAAACTGAAAAATGTTCCAAGAATCCCGGATAAGTCGGTCACATGGGGAGAAGTCTTAATTGTCGAACGTGGATTTATGAAGTGGTCGGAGTCGATTAGAGCTACAGTAGTCCTGCCTGGTGGATCTGACAAACAAGGTTTTAAAAAACAAATCCAGTGAGATTGGAAAAGAGTGAATAAAGGTGAATCAGGACGAAAAGATCAAAAGAGCTCACCGTCGACCGATTCATGAGATTAACTCAAAATAAAGTCGGACATATAAAAAGATAATAAAAAAAAGAAAAAAGGAGGTAGAGGAAGTCTTCATCACCAACCCCAAACATTTTGAGCTAGCTCACACTCAAAGAATCAACACAACTTCAGGAAGATTAAAAAAAACAAAAAAAAACGAGTCCAGGTGGAGACGAAAGGGATTAACATCCGTCTTTCAAAAGTGATAAAGTTGGAAGACTTGGTGGAGTTATGAATCACATCAGCTGTTATGTTTTTGTCTTGTTGTTTTTTTAGTGTTTGAATAAGGCTAAAGCCTCGGCTGGTGCCCGACTAGTCAAAGCATGTCGTGTTTTAGCTGAATCACAGGCTGCATGGAAACGTCAAGGAAATCACACACACAGCACTCGGAAGGGTTCAGAGCATTCCAGGAGTGAAGCTGAGGTTGAGAGACGTATGGAAAAAAAAAAAGAAGAAAAGAAAAAGAAAAAGAGAGAGAGAGAGAGAGAGACCTGTAAAATATTGCACTCAAAGCTAACACAGTGATCCCGGCAGCAGCAGTGTCACCTGCGACCGCCACCGCCTCCTCCTCCCCTCCTCTCCGTTTCATCTCCACGGTGTCTGATTCCAGTGGAAAGTATGGGATCCGCGTTGTCAGGGGCAACACAAACAAAAACCGACAGGTATTCCAATAAATCTCTAGTTGGCTGATTTTTATAACATTGCGTCAGCTCCTGCTTTCGGCCCCCCCCCCCATTGTCAAAAAGAGAAGTATGCCTTCAAGCTTGCAGTTCAAAAACGGAGCTGAGGACGACAGCGACAGGGAATTCTCTCGGAGGTCCTTTTAGTTTATCCAGTATAAATAACTTGACAAGATTAGCACAATGACATCAACCCCCGAGGAATCCAAGAGTAAGGAAAATACTCAGTCATGCTGAAATACAAAAATAAAACATCTTTGACTCTTTTTTTTTGTTCTTTTTTTGTGTCTGTCTTTTCCTTTACAGAAGTGAAGTCTTTAAGGTGATTCTTTAAGACAAGAAGCTTGAGATTGAGTTTTTTTTTTCCCCCTTCAGAGGAAAAATTAGTGCTATCCCATTGGTCCAAATCAGTTCCTCTTGGAGTTGGGTTTTAACCGCCGAGCCCTTCGTGTCCGCTTAGTCACTGTGGTGAATCGGAACTCCTCCAGCGGGTCCAGCCTGCCTTTGGGCTGGCGCTTCATGAAGTGGACTTCCTGTTGCCTCTGCGTGGTCCGCGAGCCCTTCTTGGGCCGGCCCTTCCTGTTGAAGCCGAGGTACCAGCCTTTGTACTTTGCCGACACGAGAGCCGTGTAGTTGTTCTCTAGAAATTCCTCGACAAAGACGCACTCCTGCTTCCTTCCATCGGGCTGAAAGACGGGAGGGGAAAACGGGACATTCATTAATTATTAACGCAGCAGTGTGAGCGCTTTTTCAACCAACACTATGGCTCATTTTCACTGCACCTGACAGAATCAGACTAGCTTGATTTTCTGTCGGGTTTGGCCATTTTTTCTTCACCATTGTAAATTTTGAAATATTTGAAATATGTGAAATGCAGCTCCTGCAATTTGAACTTTAATTTACCATCAATATGTGTCAAAATCGATTTGTATAAATCTGTAACACTGAAGGAGTAAGCTAACAGATTCATTAAGTCAGGGAAATCATAACGAAGAGTTAAAGGCTTTATATGTGATTTTTTGATCCAGCAGATGTCGCCCTTGAGCACCAGCATGAAACCAAAACAACTCCCGCTGCATTGTTGTGTTAGCATGCTAATGCTAGCGATCTTTATTATGCTAAAAATCGCACAGAAAGACTTTAACGTCACCTTGAAATCATGATTTTTGTACATTTGAAAACGTTTTCCGAGGAGACGAGGATTAAAATAGAAACGACAAAACTGGCTAAACGTGTCTGAGGCTCCTCTGCAGACGGTGTGTGGTTTCTTATTTTCGGCTAATGATGAAACGTGGTAATGCAACATGGCGGACTCCTTGGACAAGACCTGCTCCGTATGTACAATTATTTTTAAATTTATTCCAACTTTTATTGAGCTAATGTGATTTTTAAGTGATTGTACTTTAAGAATACTTTTCATAATTTGTAAATAATATATTTAAGTTCTGCTGATAGAAACCCCGATCTTTTACGCACTAGCCCTTTAAGGTTTGTAGCTCTACATATACTGTAATTATATAAAATCATCTGTATTCTGTAGTGTAGAATTGATACATAGCCTACATTTTAAGAGATTTGAGTAAAGACATTTTAAATCATAATTTTAAATTTAATGGGTTCCGAAAATCCTGCTGTATTGTGTAAGCACAGCATGCCCAATGGAAACCTCAGATGTCCTGCAGTTCTGCAACATTTTCTGTAGTTTATGGTTCCTAACTGAGAATAGATCTTTTTTTTTTTTTTTAATTAAAAAATAATAGATCTTCAAACAGATCACAGTAAGACCAGCAGACTTTCTCCTAAAGGAGGAAGTCGACGAACATTTGTTAAACAAATGAGGCCCCAGCAGCTAAAAAAAGTCCAAAAAGCATGTTTCTAACAGATGACCACGGTGAGGGAGTGAAAACTCGCTGCAGCCCCTACCGACGCTGACAGCATGAGTTATTAATGCAACAAAATCACACGTGAGCCTCCCACTGCAGAGCACATGAGTTCTGATATTAACTTCTTTTCCATATCGAAAAGCGGCCGTCCGCAGAGTCACATGCAGTCATCCCGCCGCTCCTGGCCACCTGGTGTGACTAAGTGATATAATTGCAATGGCATTCCTCCTAAGTGACCATTAGTCTCTCAATGCATTGTGGTGATTGCAGTCCGTAATTGACTGATCGAGTGTCAAAGGAGCAGGCTGATTACGTAATGGAAGAAGGGCTGTGAGTTATCAAAGGGGTTTTGTTAGGGTGTACAAAAACAGCAGGAGAAAAGCAGATCGGAGGCGGCGTCCGATTCAGCTTGGATTAAGAGCTCCCTTTAAAAATATCCATTAAGATATCACGACTATTTAATCTCATCAGCTAAAATATTCCGCTTTTACCAAATGTTAACCTCGTTTTCATCGTGTCCGATAAATAAAAAAAACAAACGATACTCACCCTTCCTACTATCTTGCCCTTCTCGTTCATGCAGATGTAATGTTCGCTCTCTTTCCCTTTTATTCGAATGTGACTCCCGAAGGTTTCCGTCTCGACCACAAGAAGAGCTGAAAGAGAAAAAGAAAAAGTGAACTCGGTTAGGGAGCAGGTTAAACATGTTACACAAAACAAAATGATTGTATTCTGGTGAAACTGTGTTTTTACTCTTCTACACTTTTGCAATTATCTTTAATTTCTGCAAAATGTGCAATTTATTTGAGACCTCCTAAATGATTTCATCCCCCCCCCCGCTCCCTCCAAGTATGAACCGTGCAACTAGAGGCTCTCAGATCCAGAATATAGAAATTAATACGTATTTATAGCTGAAAACAACAGAATTCTGCAAGATCCAGAAATGTGAATTCTTGTGTTTTGGCTCTGCATACATTTTCATACGACTTGATATGATGAATATTGCAAACAATGCTTATGTGCATGTTGAAAAATATGATGTTTCCAACTCAAAAATAAACAAAAAAGGAATATATTGTGGGTCTCCAGAGCAAATATGAAACACTTGTTACAGTATATTAAGCATATCACTTTATTTATATGTGATAAGACAACAAAGCCACCGTCACTTCAACCTGACACAGCAGTAATCCACTCTCGAGACACACATCCCGGCGGTTCTTTCAATTCCCCCCCGCCTCCTCCTCATCCCAAATGTTAACCCCCGCGAGGTCACCTTTGTCTCGGCTCGCCCCCCTCAGACCAGCAAAGAGATCTGCCAAAACATTTTGTGGAGCGGTTATGTGCCCCTCAGGATTAGGTTTCAAGTTCCCTTTAGTCTGTGCTCACTCAATCAAAAAGTTAAGATGATCCATTTGTTTAACACACAGGGCCATTCAGTAGCGCTCAAGGGAGAAGGGGGAAGAATAGGCGAAGGGGACGGGACAGGCTGGAGGGCAGAAGTGACTCCCCTCCTCCTCCTCCTCCTCCTCCTCCTCCTCCTCCTCCTTCTGCTCCCCTCAACCCTAAAATCCAACCTTGGAGAGAAACTCGAAGAAGGAAACCTGCTGAAAGGTGTAACTAAGGGTAGGTGAAAGCTATTGTCTTATTTTAGGGCTTCACATTGCAGACTTTTCTTTGCACTGGAGAGATCAGTCTGGCTCTTTTTTGGGAGAAAACAGGAACAAACAATGGTTTGTACTCAAAGTAAATAGTTATTATAAGGACATATAAGTTCTGAGAGTCAGATCAGACTACACTTTGGCCTTCTTACACCTGAGCTTGGACCCAAATTTTGACCTCAAGTATGATGTCTTTGCACAAGAAAATCAGATAAAACAGCGTCCCCCCTATTATAACTTTTTTTGTTGTTGTGCCACGTTCAAACCAAGTTTTATATTTTTCTGTTAAAGTATGAACCTGACAGAACATTTAAATAATCTTTTGGAGGACTTCTGAGTGTATGGATGTTACAGGTGTCCCTCCACTGATGGTAAAATTATAAAAATGGAGCCTAAAAGATAAAGAAGGGTGGATTTATTTGCAACAGCATCGGCATGAAAATGTGTGTGTTCTGGTTATTTCTCTACACAATCCTTCAACTGGAGACTCCATTGGTCGCCATTGTTGGCATTTACAACGACTAAAATCCGACAGAAACTTCAATCAAGATTGAAAATGTTGTCAAAGTTAACATCAGATTTTTAAGATCGCCCACTCAATCCCATTTGTAACGACTTCTGAACCCCAACAAAATACAACAGTTTTTTTTTCTGATGCATTAAACAACGCGGGGTTGCTATATGTGGTCACTCGTCAAAATGTCTAAAAAGTCCGTCTTGCAGCATTTATCAGTTAAAAAGCCTTTTGCCGTGACAAAGCATTAGTCCTGAGTGGACAAAAAGCATCATTTACAATGGATTCTTCTGGACAAAAGGATTGTTCTAGTCTCTTAAAAATGACAAATATGCTTTGCAATTACAGGAGAAGGATTGCCCTAGTCTCTTAAAAGTAATTCATTTGATTCTCTAATACCCCAAAGGAATAATAATGCTTGCACTTTGCTGCACTGATTCGTCATAAAGCTCTAAATTGAGGCAATATATTTCTCCTGCGGTGGTTTGTATCCCTCCGCCGTGAAGCTGCAGTGACCGAGAGAGTGGATTGGAGCAAAAGAAAATATCTTCCTGATTATTATTAGTGAGTGCAAAGGAGTTCACAGGTGCCAGGTACTGCAGCTGGATGGGGAGGAGGAGGAGGAGGAGGTAGACGAGAAGGGGGAGGGGCAGAGGGTGGAATTGGCAAGGCCTCATGGGAAAAATTGGATCTGCTTCCACTCAAGCTCTAACAAGCAGTGAGGAAACTTCGCCTCGGCGCATCTGCGACTGAACACACTCACTCAAGAGGCGTTCAACACCAGCAATTTTCGAGGCCGTGAGTCAGCTGTTATGAGCAAAAAAATATCTGCAGGAGAGTGCAACACGAGTCCCCGCCGCCTTATGTTTGTGCCACTGCATCAAAGTCGGCTTAGCTGACCATCAATTTACTTATCCATCTGCAGGGGTTGTTTTTGATCTGAAGTGGTGAACAAGTCCGTGCAGAAGGCAAAGAGAATATACTTAAATATACAAAATCTAGATCTGTCAAGTGCACCTCCATCTTTCACATCTGCATTAGGAACTAGAACAACCTGGTGAAATAAAGGTTAAAAACTACAACACTGCTGGAATAAACCAAATCAAAGTGGTTCTTAAGTTCAACTTTAATGTGACAACGACCATTGCAAGCCACATCTTGGTGAAGAAAAGTGACATTCAACATTTAGTTCAAGCACAGTTCCATTTATGGTTTTCAACAAATGGTGCTTCCCAAAACACATCCACAGTGCCATTCCTTGGGAAAAACATTTGCTTTGTTGGGATCTTTTTTATGAACCCAAACACAATCAAGGTCAGTAATCTACATGGCTTCATAATACACAACCTTTGAGTCTAAAAACAGTCACTTACTTGCAAGAATATTTTGCACAACGGCAAAACAACAGATAAGATTTGCATTTTGGGAAAGACTCACACTGTTGTCCTTAGAGCCATCCAAAAATAGACTTGCTCTTGATACCCAAATTCTGCAGTAAACATCCATTACCAGGTCAGCAATTTCATAATCTCTCCTTCCATTACAACCAGTAGTTTGGTGTGATAGAAGAGTCTCCATCAACTATGCTCACTCCAAACATGGAGCGTCGAAAACCACCTCCAAACAGGACTAGTAAACAGCAAAGTAATGAGACAAGATCTCATGAAGTGCCTAAATCTGTCTGGTAGGTCGGTGGTGGTTTTATCACTGACTTGATGAAGTGTAAAAGTGAGATGCACAGGAGATCTCCCATACCATACTTGCCCCCATCATCTCCGTTGGCGTTGACTTTCTTCCCCAAGATCTGGACGTGCTTCCCCGTGGTCCTGCTGTAGAGCTGGTAGATCCGGACCTGCTTCCGGCTAAGGTCGTCGGGGTTCCTCGTGTGGTTCTCGATGTAAAACCTAAAATCTGCGGAGCTCTGCTGGGACTCCTGCGCAGAGGTGAGAGACACAGAGAGAGAGAGAGAAGATGAAGAAACAGAAAATAATCAGCCTGAATAAATGTTTTAAGTAAGAATGTTAAGTTAAATCCTTGATGTATAAATCTCTTCCTATTCTTATTTTACTATGTATCTATTCTTATATTGTTTTATTTGTTCTGATAACCTGCTGCTGTAACACCACAATTTCCAAGTTTTGGATCAATAAAGTAATTCTATTCTATCCTAAAAGAGGGAAGACAGACAGTGAGAGATCGTCACTGCACAGGTGCTGATAGTATCTTGTGCTTGTTGCTTTTATGGGCCCTGTGTCAAAAACAAATTGTGCTTCAGGGGGCGAGAGAAGTGAACCTAGAAATTGCGGTTGTTCTCTTCCTTTCTTTCAACCGGCCCGTTTTATATGCATTGCATTTACAAGGTGATAACTATGCTACAAGACATGTTAATGAAGTCACCGTTTGAGTAAAAAAAAATCCAACAGAACAAGTGCAAAAGCGGAAAGGTTGAATCTTCTGTTGCATCTCTATTGAGACAGCGGTTTACTGTGTGCCCCGGGGCGATATTGAGAAACCTGTACTCCCATTTCCACAAGCAAGCAAGCAAGCAAGCAAGCCACTAGCAATTATACACCTGAAGCATCCAGACCTGTTGCACTATCATCAAACAAATATCTGCCTGCAGGCGAAGTCAGGGTCCATAAATTAGGAAAAACCCAGCAGGCAGGAAGACAAGACTGAAAGATGTGCAAGAGGCACCTCCAACCACACACACAAAAAAAAACGCTCTTGTGGGATGAAATCATCGAAAATCCACCTTTCAGATTCACCCGCTCGCCTGCTGTTTTTTACGAGTCACCTTAAGACCTGACGTGAAAACACAGGAAATGACTGACACTCGGCAGCATGTCAGAGAAAGCAGCCGTGTCAAACCGACATGTGGAAGAGCGCCGGGGAAAACGTATACTTTCAGAAGCCCAGGAATCTCAGTTCACGCCAAGATCCCATTTCCCCAGCTGTACGGTGTGGTAATTGCACAGTAATGGCTTTTTATGTGGCTGTTCTCAGGTGGCTAATTATATACACATTACATACCCCTGAGTACTTGTTATTCTACCTTTCGGTGAATTAATGGCATGCAAGCAAAACATGATGGGGAAATTGAGGCCTCAGAAGAACAAATCCTTAAACTCAAGAGTGGAAAAAAATAAATCTTCAAATGTGAACAAAAGTTTTTTTATGGAGGCTCCTAAAGCGCCTCTTATGGACCAGATGTCACACAAGTTAAGGCCAAATCCATGAAGAGAAATCCTTTGGGTTGGACCCAATGTTTTCCCACATAAGTGACAATCTAACCTTCCCAAAAAAAAAAGTTTGTAAGTCATCTCTTCACGTCAAACAAGGACCCTCAAACGCTTCATACTTTGTAAGCTGTAGCATCACCGGGCATCATTTCCCCGCCATCCTTGGACGAGCTTTAGAAAAAGTTGGCTCAATATGACGTATTTGGTCTAGAAATGTGGCCTCTGGAGGATCCGTTTCCCAAACTGGGACACAGCTTCTGTATCTTGACGTTTAGGAAACACGCCCGTAATGAAACTTTTGGCATCAAGCGGTGTGAAAAAGCGTCAGAAACTGGAAATCAAAATGCATTGCAACACATTTGTTGTGCTATTATTGACTTTGAGGCAACGAGACTTCAACATTCTGATGATTTTGTTTCAAGTTGATGATGATTCTCACTTGGTAAAGTTTTTGATGAGCAGTATCTCTAACTTTCTTTGTCTTAAAGAAAAGGTTTCAAAATCAGGAACCCCCGATTGGCTCCTTAACTTGCCCCCATGGTCTCCAATTATGGCTGCACGTTTTGCAAAAACAGTTGATCCTAAGTGATCATTCAAACCTGCAACACGACTGGCATGCAGCAATGACGAGTAAAACTGATCCTATAGATCGAGTACTCTAACCCCGTAGACACCCTCAACACAACTGTACCAGATCAGTGACCTCGTGACCTCATGAAACCTAACTTATTTGAGGCAGATTTGCTATTTTCAACAAATCTGTGTGCAATATTTAGGGCAGTGTACATCGATGTTACCCTCCTCAGAAGCTTTTTGAGTATATGCACAAAGACAAAAATGTGGAAAATCCCAACTACTGAATGATGAAAATGAACCAAAGTTGTAGGATCTCTCCTATCGAAGGTCAAGTAGCTGCAACAACAATGGCGCTTTTATTAAGCGTTCATATTTGATGCTCAACACATTTAGTAGCTCAATAAGGAAGATTCAGAAGTTACTGGTTAAAAAGGACAAGCTGTCCATCTGAACTGATCAAACAAACTAAGACAGAACTGTCACCTGCATGACTTTTATTATCAAGGACAAGAAGTCATATTCATCATGTTTGATTGGTAAGTTCTCTCTGCTCTTCTCAAAACTCGAATGCAACGTTAGAAGCTGAAATATATTTGCAAAAGAAGAAACTGGATATGGAGTTCAACCTGCTGATTCAGAGATAAGCATTGATTGTAAAATGTCTGCTCATCCATAACTGCACACAGGTGTGAGGAAAATTCACACAAATTTCAAGAGCTAAACCTCAGCATCCTTTGTTGTTAGCTCGCTCTCTCTCTCTCTCTCTCTCTCAGACACAATCAACCACAAGGTTCACAAAAAATGCATCACACAACAAACCATAGCCTAACCAGGCTGCTACAGGATTTATCCCAAATCTCCCCATCTCTAAACAAACATAAAGGTGTGTTTGGTAGACAGTTGCATTTTGTGTCAGGGGAGAGAGGCAAGCCTAAGCACATGGCCGAGGTGAACACACCGCAGCGACAACAGTGTTTTATCACGCTGTCTCCTTTCTTCAAAGACACAGCATGAAAACGGATATGGTTGAAACTTCAAAAGTCTGGCACTCGTCTTTGCCCAGGAAGCTTAGTTGTCGCGTCCATCTAAGATACACCTTGCTATCTGCTCTACACACACACACACACACACACACACACACACACACACACACACACACACACACACACACACACACACACACACACACACACACACACACACACACACACACACACACACACACACACACACACACACACACACACACACACTCCTAAATGTTGGCGGTGCATTCAAAGTTCTCTTTCAACTGTGGTTGCTTCTGTTGTCTTTCCTCTTGAAATCACAGCCACAGCAGCGCTGAGGAGCAGAAGGGGCAAACAATACGGGAAGGCAACGTGGACGGTGGGATTATCTTGATTTTATGTTTTAGTTTGATCAACCAGCAAGCACTCAAAGTGTCACAATGTACGTGCTTTATTTCACCTTTTCTACACCGAAACAAACATGCCAAATCAAAAAGGAAAAACCCACATGATAGGTAAAATCCCTGCTCCTTATACATCGGTCAGGCCACATTCTGCAAGAACTACATCCTGCCTTACATGTGAGAGGTGCTCAGTCGACACTAAAGCTCTGTTTGTGCTAGCTCTGTTGGAATAATCCGAGCACATAGGCTTATGCAACATCACAGCTGCGTTTTTTTAAGAATATATTTTATATTTTGCATTTAATTTATTTCAAAAAGTCTTGGATCTTCTATCTTACTGCAGGAGTTGTACTCTATTTTGCCTCTGAAAGCTAATAAACACGGTGAACCTGGCAGGACTAAATAAATCTAGAATTTTTCAACCTATAAAATACATTTTGTGAAGTGAATAAACAAACTTTCCCTCCTGCCTGGTTGTATTTCTCTAATAAAGATCAAATGTTGCACCTTCTTGTAATGATGCAGCTTTCTCTTGTAAAAAATATATATTTTATATTTCATGCATTCAAGTTCTAATTACATTACTAATGATGCTTGGTGATGCGTTTGTGGAACAACGTGAGGAATAAATCCTCTCCTCCTTTTGAAGATTCTTTGAATATTTGAGGTCATAACAACTCTGAGAAATTAATCACGATCAAACACGTCATGCCAATAAATTGATCAGATAGTTTTATGAGAGAGAGAGAGAGAGAGAGAGAGAGAGAGAGAGAGGGGGCATGCTCTCTGCATCTTCTCTGAATCAAAGCGGCGCAATTAGGTGAGTGAATGCCTGCAAATGATTACTGTTCAAAGTGAGACGCAACTCGTAAAAAGTGAGGCTTACAAGCCCCAAACGAGCCCAGCTGTTCAAAGAACGACTTTTTCACCCCAGGGATCAAAATATTTATTGCACGATTCTGTTGTAAAACACGGAAACTGCTACTTGAATTCCAAATTAAAAACAACAGGTTTTAATTAAATTGTTTGGGAAGATGGCGGTCCTTATTTAGTGGAATAATCCGACCAAAGCACGCAGATACACACAAGACTGTCTTTTTTATATTCCTGCTTCTGTGCTGTGGTGTAAAGTAGGCTATTGCTGCTGCATTGGTTATTTTAATAGATTTTGATTAAATTATTGTTATTGTATCGCCAATCATATCGCGATGATGCAGCTCTGAATAAGAATGCAGGGAAATGCGATACAATTGTAGAAATTTGTTATAAATTGTTTTAATTTTTTTTCTCTGCATTCAACTTTTATAATCCTTGTACATTACTTAATAAGTTGCAGTTTTTTTAACCATTTCTTCCAACTTCCTTGACTGATTTTATCATTTGTTTTTGCGCAACAAATGCGTCCTTGTCAATTTTAGACACAATATTTATTCTTCTAGTCCCCAAATGAGTATTGATTTATTGAATAAGTCAACCCGGCGTGCAGTCGAACAGAGCCGGCTACTCCGTGTCAAACCATCTCCACCTATCATGAGCATTACATTTAAAAGAAGCGCATGCAGCATGTAAACACAAGAAACACAGGGTTGAAGTCGGGAGTAAACATACCTGTAGCTGGAAATAGAGGACCAGAAAATGTAAACACCTACGTGGAGAGAGAGGGAGAGAGAAGAGAGGAGGGGAGTGAATCAAACAGGCAATTACATGAAGAATAAACGCAGCCTACCTGGATGAAAGCAATGCGTAAATATGAAGCTTTTGGCGACTTCTATTGGTAAGAATGTACGAGTTTAATGTGCAAAAAGGCAAACGGAGATGTGGAGCACTTACACGTATATGAACCTCGAAGGCAGCAGAGACATCTTGACTCGCAGAAGTACACCTGAAATACACCTGCTTCCACAGAGTTAGAGCCCCAGGAAAAGGTTGGCGAAATCGCCCCCCCTCCTCTATCTCGCTTTCGTTCACCTTGCGCGTACTTTACGCGCACAACTCCGGGGGTAAGTGGGAGATTGAATCCCAGTGTAAGGATAGATCACTGGAGAGCAGCAGCAGAGTCACGGGGTGCAACATTAGGTGCTTCCTTGTTGGGGGGGGAATTATCCAGAAGTGTGTTATTTTCTCAGCTTATAGTCTCCTCCGCTCCCCGAAATCCCCACCGCGTCTCCGGATGTGAGTGCCAAAGCGTGGAGAGGATTCAGAATTCAATCTAGCTCCAAAAAAAAAAATCCCGTCGCTCAAATAAATTATCCTCCGAGTTTTACGCACCTACAGCCGAGTTTCCCCACAATCCCAAATCCAGCTCCTCAAGAGCTCACAGGCTGTTTAACTCCGTCCGTACCTGCGGGGGATTTCTACACCTTGCATCGGTCATTTTATTCTATCAAGTGCTGAAGAGGAAAAAGTGGTGAATGATAAAAACGCCCTTCCACCAAGAAGTCGCTAAAACCGGGAAAACAAACTTATCCAGGCTTGTTTTACAAAAACAAGAAGTATGAAAGTCGCAGCAGCAGCAGCAGCGGATCCCTGGAGAGGTTTGGGGGCTGATGATGGCGCAGCAGTGCCTGTCAGTGGTGTTTGTGCGTCTGCGGCTTTAGATTTGGGCACAGAGAGGCTTTTTTGTTGTTGGTGGGTGGAAACATGTCAGCGGTTTGCACCTGATAGGGTAATCTTGGAGAGACCATCAGCCTGGAGTGGGGTTTTTTCCTCTCGGTGGGCAAAGCTCTGCGCAAAAGGAGAACAAGAACAAGGGGATGAAGTGCTTTTTTAGTTTGTTTAGGGGCATTTTTAATTAGATTTATTTCCCACAAGTAGAAGATCGGGGGTGGACAAAACAGCCTAGTGTGAAGGGATTGGGGAACTGTGATTTCACTTTATATATTTAGGTTTAAATTTACATATTTTTGTACTTCAACGTTTTTTTTTTCCCATCTTTTTTTAACGCTGGTAAAATGTTTTTTTTATTTTTATTATTGTGACCGCTCGTGAAAATAACCAGTTGCTGTTTTTTTTTTTAACAGCGACAGAAACTGACTCTCTCTCTCTCTCTCTCTTTTATTTGTGCTTTTTAAGCTGCTGCAGGTTTGTGGATTGGCCTCGGCTCTTGCCAGACACCATTCAAATGCAGGTTGTTGTCGACCTCGATTTTTTTTTTTTTTCAATAATGTGCTATAACTTATCGCGCATTTAAATGCAAGAGAGGTGTGAATGTGTTTACGAGCTGGCAGCAGTAAAGTGAGCCCACATCCCTTCTGCCATTTATACAAAAAAAAGAAAAAAAGGAAAAGAAAACCTTTGTGGTTCTCCTTTATTGTCCCATTAAAACTGGATCCTCGGCATTCCTGTGCCATTGATATTCACAGTGATTCGAAATGATTACATATATAACTTCCCCATGTTGGGGATCTCAAAGAGCCCTCCTGTGGTGAGCTTTCATTAAAGGGAGTTTAGTTAAAGAGCTTGAGCTGCTGATCAACATCAGGAAGCAGAATAAACAAAAAAAATGTATTTAATTTATTTATCCGGGAAATCTTCTTTCATGCTTTTATTTTGGAAAAAGCTTTATCGGTGAATAAATCAGGGGAATCATTTGTGTTGTGTTCAGGTACAAATGTAGCTAAAGTGGCTTGATGTGGGTTTTACTGTGTGATTCATGGCTGTCTGCCTTACAACAGAGCTTGATCCTGCCAACCACACAGCTCTTTAATAATCCCCTGTAACACAACTGATATATAGTATCATTTAAAGCATGACTAATTTAGCCTTGTCTGCCTCAGGGAGGGAAATCACAGCAGAAATGAGCAAATAGTAATTATCCAGCGAGATAGTTTGATGATTTCTTTACAAAGACGAGGCTCTATTGGATCAAACAGGGCTTACATTAGCTGCTGCTCACCACAGGTAAAGATTTCTCCCCTCAAAATCCAAAACAAAGGCACCTGACAATTGATTTAAAGAAGGCAGAATGATAAACAGCAATTAGCGCTCTGACTGTGATGGAGCCAGCACGGTGGAGTCAATCATCGCCTCTTTTTTTTTTAAGCGCATGTTTGTGACAAAACTTCTCGGAGCGTGACTGTAAATCCATGTCTGAGAGGAGAGAGAGCAGCAGCAGCAGCAGCAGCAGGCTTTGGATGTGGCCACCTGTGATTCAGGAGGAGGAAACGTTTCTCTGCTTGTGGCAATGCGGGAAGATCCCGGCGTTTTGAAAAGAGCGTTTATCATTTCATCATTTGTCTTCAGGGTGTGTGGGAAATAAAGAAAGACAGTGATGGCCAAAAGCCAGTTTTTTTGGATGGTTCTGCATGTGCACTTGTCTGGACGATGAGTCACTTCAGCAGCTGGCCAATCAGGGGTCAGAGGGTCAGATATCTAGAAACAAGAAATGTCAACTAAAGGTTGCACCAAAGAAAACAAAGTGAACCAATGCAAATACATTTCTCTTTTTCCATCCTACACATGAGAGAAAAACAGAACTGACATTATTTCTCAGTTGAAATTTTAGGAGTTTCATGAAATTGTTAAAAGACACACTTGTGATTTTACCACGTTTATCCTTATCTAACTTTAACATACTTTAAATTGTTGTTTTCAAACCAAATTCGACACCTGAGCAACTGTGGCTCAAGGAGAATAAAGTGTTGCTCAGTGTAGGACTGTCACATTACCAGAGTTTTAAACTTCAATAATCAAACACCTGTTTTAATACCACAGCGACAGAAATAGAAGTCCAGGGCACCCAATATTTGGTTATTTCTTGTTTTGTCAACTATCAAAAGTTGCATGCTGCAGCACCCAAAACATTGCCAATGCATGTGTGCAATTTCAGACAGTTAGCAGGAGTTTGCTTGCAATTTTGAAGAATTCCTTCCTCCTCTCAGTACCTGTCTTATGATGAATTTGAACAAATAAAACAGCAGCAATCGATGAATACAGGCTGCTGCAGGAGTGAGCTTTATGAATGGGGGGAGCTGTTTTTTTACAGTCCAGTTTCTGAGGCTGGGAGAAGGAGGATGGGGTGGGGAGGGGGAGCAGCCACTCAAGAGTCGGGATAAGGTTACCCACAGAGATTAGCTGACAAGAGTGAGGGAGTGAGAAAAACAAGCAAGCAAGTTAAAGGTCTTATTTTACCTGGCCTTGCCGTGCTTGGCAGCCAATGAAAGTGCTTTCAAAACCAACCGATCCAAACGGTGCCTGGAGTGATCCTCAGGCAGCCACATTTCTCCATCCTGCTTCAATTCTGATGACAACAAATTTTGAACTTCTAAAGTCAAAGTGGCGAGTGATGTTATTTTTTTTAGTCGACTCCCAGACTCCTTTCAAGCCTTTGAATTTGAACCTCGCCGCGTCCCCTAGTGCAGCTATGCGTGTCTGTCCGCAGAGACGGGGACTGTGGGAATGCCGGCGAGGATATCTCATTGAAGCTAAAGGAGGAGGCTTCTGAGGGCGGGCGGGCGGGCGGCCGGGCCGGGCGAGCGCTCCGCGGTTCAAAGGGGTCCTAGCAGGCATTTAGGGGCCTGACAAAAGAAGTTGGCAGATCAGTAAGTGAAGCCCAATGTACTACATTAGTGTCAGGACCCCCCCCCCTCCGCAGTCCCTCCCACTTTGCACTTTCATCTCTGACACGGACATATTGACTTAAAGGAAAGGAAGGGGGGGCGAAGGAGGGGTGGGCAGTTGTCGGGAGGGGTGCATGTGTCCCATTCAACTCTAAAAAGGTGAGGCGATTGATGCTGGGGGGGGGGGGGACCACTGGCTCATATAAACCACCCAGGAGCCTTTTTTTTTTTTAACAAGAAGAAGTCACAGACCGGCAAGGGTGTGAGACCTGCGACGGGGGACGGCCCTCTTCCTCTCATCTCACTGGAGTCAGCCTCACCCCATTAGGGATAACGCTGACCCCCAACACCCCCCCCCCCATCCCCCTCCCACCGCCACATCCCCTTTACACACTGTTAACCATGCCATCCTGCAAAGCGAGTGAAGTCCAGACAGGGGTTTGGGTCGCAACAGGGGTCGTGACACCATGACATTTTTGTGGAGGGTGAAAGAGAGAGAGAGAGGAGCCACTGCAGCGGGCGAGCTATACCTCACAGACTCAAGTATCACCTGAAGGAGAGGGAGGAGGGAAAGAAGCGGGGAAGTGTTTTTAGTAATTTGTCCCCCGTCACACATTGTTTGCATGGAGTCATTAAGGGGCCATTTAGGGTTTTTCTTTTTTGCCTTGAAGGGGGAAGAGGCCAGAGAGTTTGGGTGCGGGCACTCTTTATGGGGGAGTGAAGGGTGAAAATTAAAAGCGTCGCTCTTCAACAAATCATCCCCGAGCGCCGCGGTGCATGCAGAACATATTAATGTTTCCACTGACTTCAGTCGCCTGCTTGACATTAATGATGATTTGCCTCATGTCATCCAGCGGGGGAGTCTTGACTTCTCTAAAAAATATGAAAGTATGGCATCTCTAGTTTTTTTTTCTTAAAGTGACTATATGTGCATTTTTAAAACATCACTGAACCTTCAAGTTGTTTGGATGAATTCTTTGGGTGTTGTTGAGCACAGAGAAACTGCCAAGACGTCTCACAGCGCTACAATCAAATAACAGCCAGCCAACAGACCCCCATGTGTCCTTAAGTTTTTTGGACCACGTTTGACACATAAATGTCGATTCCTTGGACGAGCAGAGGTAATCCAAAATCTTTTTTTTTCGGTTCTCAGACTTTAGCGGAGCATGTGAGCGCCTTAATGACATAATAGGCTTGTCAGAGCTGGGTGGACTGGCTGTGAAAAGTTTGAGAAGTAAAATGATGTAAGTGTTCTTTGTCAGCTCTTTAATTTCTTTCTCCTCCCTGAAGTTGAAGGGACTTCATAATTGTTTTCTTGGGGCTGCTTGTGTGTAATGTGGCACAAAATGGCTTAAAATGTGCTATCTTCTTCATTGACTTTGTTAATGTATTATTTCCTGTCTCTTCTTGCTCCTTGTCCTAGTATGCATGAGTGTGAATGAGACTCCTGGGTAGGCTACTGTGGTAACAGGCTAGGATTCCTGTCCCGGTGGGTGGGTACGGGGTTAACTGGGTTGGGCGGTAGAAGGCAGGAATGGGGATTACAAAAGATGACCACAGTACAAGGTCAAATCTTATGCCAACTGTATGTTTCTTATCATCTGTGCAAACTAATAAAAAATTGCAATCTTAAAATCATTACAAACATCTTGCTGCTCCGGCTGTGTTTTAAAAGCATCTTTGACCCTTGGGGAACGGCAGTGTATCGAGCTCATTAAGGACACACAGGCCCAGAGTAAATTAAGAATCAGCTTCGAAACAGCTTTGAAAAGGTGATGCTCTGGAATCAAAAGGAGGTCGAAGCCCACCAAGTGGGTGACCCAGACTCGCCCAGCATCATTTGATGAGGACTTTAAAGTCATTACCTTCATGTTCAGGGTGAGAAGTACTAAGTGGGTGTTCAAAGCCCAACCCTGTCAGGGCCAATGTTTATCTGATTACCGACAACTCCTCAGGTGCTCCTGGTTAGATCTTGTTGTGTGGCGGCGACGCATTAGATTGGCGCCACCATGGGAGCGTCACTTGGGAGACCTGCTTCATGCAAGCAATAGAACAGTATATTC